CACTTTTATACTGAGATGAAATCTCAAACTGTGAATCTCTGGTCGGTTTGAAATTATGCAGATCTGGGTCCTGTTACATAAAGCAGGGTTAAGTGGAGTCGTCGTAATAACTTCTGGCTCAGTTTGTTGATTTTTAACAAAATGACTCGCTTCTTATCCGGAAACGTCTAAAGTCTCTTCTCACTTGAAGAAATTAAACTCATTTAAAAGAAAAGCAAAATCAGCTAGCAGAGCCTAAACCAAATTCTTTAAAGGTGCATTATTATTTTTTTCCAGGCATCTAGTGGCATTTTAGAGCACAATCAACTATGTTACCTTCAGTACTTATGAAAATGCTGCATAGCAAATATAACTTAAAAGAAGTTCAATTTGACTTTAACATCTTGAAGTCGGGCCTCCGCCTCTTTAAAAACCCCTGCTTTTTATGAAACTCTGCTTTTAACGTCGCTCCTCTACTAACTCTTGAACAACGCTTTTACTGAGAAGTAGCTTACATAATGAGCTCAGCAGATGTGCAGTTCCACCAGGTGTTTGCTAATTGCTGCTGGCTAGCCCAGAGGAGCTGATGGGGCAGGAGTTCGGTCACTTGTAAACTGTCCTCACCGTCTTGAAAAGAGGAGGAGCTGCGCCTCGATTCCCCCTCGGGACGATTTGCACAGCTGAATGGTTGCCACGGGAAATTGAAGGATTTCTCAAACATGCATGAACGAATCGTGGCAACACTTCAGGTGTGTTTTTGATGAGGAAATAACGTCATAACATGATGTAACGCTTAAAAAAAGCGAACTTTACATTACACTGCCCCTTTAACAAGCTCTAAATCGTATTTATATGACTGGTACAAGCAAGTAAAATAGGTCAGCCACAAATAAAAAATCACCCATTCTGCTTCAGAAGTAAAATCCGAAGTAAAGCAGAATTTGGTGTTATGATGGGGTAAATATCGCCGTACACGTATAGCTGTTTTCGGGGCTGCTGTCTGCTGGCGACGGTGGTGCTTGTTAGGCGAAGACTGCGCCTGTATTTAGCATCAAACCTTTGGCTGCACTCAGCAAAACAGTCCTCGGCGGATTTTCTCCCTCAGGGAGGAAACGGGCATTGTTGGAAAGTTTCGAGAGATTTTTGCTGTTGTTTCGCCGTAATTAGGAGACGGCGGATGTTATGTGGGGTGACAGTGGGCGCTGTGCTGAGCCAAAGTGAAGCTTCTTCTGTTGCAGGTGTCTCAGAGGAACGAAGGGCGTCAGGGGCCGGCAGTCTGCTGCTAACTGACAGCCATCACTTCGTATCAGGAAGCTGATCGCTCCGTCCTCCTGAGTGCCGTGTCAATTCAATAGCAGCAGCAGTCTGGGCAGGTAGAAAGGAGGACAGCCTCATTTCGGCTCTGCAGCAGTCTGAAGATTAGCTTCAGATTGCTGCAGGCATTGACTCGATTCAGCCGGCTCCCACTTTGGCTGGCTCTGTGCCCGACAAACAGCGGGGAGGTGGATGAGAGGAAGATTTCATCCATATCAAAACCGTGTCTTCGGATGTTTTCAAAGCACGCAGGAGTACAAACAAGATGAAATAGTAGTACTGCAGGATATTGTGTGAGCATTCTTCACAGTGCTGTCTAAAAAAAGCAGCCTGAAATCTGTGGCGGAAAAGCCAGCTGTGATGAAAACACATTGGGTTTTTTGTTTGTTTGTTTGTTTTTATCAAATCTACAGCTCAACATATAAAATTGTGATCACTAGATGCTTCATAACTGAAGAATGAGGTTAATATAATTAAAGGAAAATATTTATAGAAGGGTTTTTAATTGTTTTTTTAGGTGGTTGCAAAAGAAAAAGAAAACAGCTACAGTAAATAAACTTAAGTAGGATTTATTTAACGGGAGAAATCAAGCACTTTTAGGTTCTTCACGTTGTCATATGAGAGGTGAAAACGTCTCTGGGATGTGAAACTCACACCAGTGACTCCTGTGTGAACCCGGCTACCTTAAAGCCAACCACTGGTCCAGGCTAACGGGTTCCACTAACTTTAAATGGGAAGTTCCTTTGAAGCTCATTGTGCCACTGGAGTAAGAAGAGTTCAAGCCTCTTTCTCACACATCCTGAAACTCTCTCTTTCTGTTTGAGCAAAAAGTACAGTTTCATTTTCATCCTATAAAGTGATATTTTGTTGAAATTTTCATGGATGGATATCTTATTGGGCAGAGTGCGTCTGGGGACAGCAGTTTCTAAGCCGTACAATGGATTCTCAACTGGGTTTTGCTCTGGACTTTGACAGCATCACTCAAAGTTAAAGTTTTTTGTTGTTGGAGTGAGTTCCTTCATGGCACTTTGGACGGCCCATTGTACAGAAACTGCTTGGGTGAATATTGAATTTTGTGGCTGGAGACCAAAGGTTAAACCAGCCATTGATGTATAAAAGGCAACTTAAGTTTTATCTGCTGAGCAGGCAAGAGCAAATGATAAAGTTCATTGTTAGATGTTAAAGTGAAGTGGATAAGCCGTGTCGTAATATTTAGTGCTCTCTCCTAGCTGTGGTTGACTTTATATATGAAAACTTTACATCGGCTTCCCTTCCACAGACCAAGATATCAGGCTTAATGGACGATTCTAAATTATGAATGTGAGCCTCCATATTTGTGTGTCTTACAGACAACATGTCAAAAAGGTCTAAATCCATTTCATGAAGCAATATTGAAGGTGTGCTAGAACACAGAAAGTGCACAAGACAAAGACTAAAGCTCAGTGGAAACTGGGATACAGCAGTCAGTTTCCACTGTGTGGTAGCGGTGTAATTGGGACCGTCAAAAGTAATGGGATCATGGGCAGAGAAGAAGTACAGTACATTTTTTGATCCACCATGCAAAACCATCTAAAAAGAGTTTAATGCGTGAAGGCTTGTTTTTTTTTTAAAGATTTTACAGTGATGCCCCACAGAGCAAAATGCAGTGAAGTGTCCCTTCAGAAAAACCCAATAGGAAACAAAGAAGGGAACCAACGTCAGCTAATATCTAAGAAAACAATTTAGAGACGTTGTACAAAGACAAACCAAAGGTAGAAATATTTTATTTAGGCTAAAAGGCTCCGGGATCATTTCTATTAAAGGTGTGCGATACTGCATATGTTGGCATCAATCCGATACCAAGTAAATAAATACAAGACCATTATCGCTGATAACCGAGAGAGTAACCAATACCGAGACAGTAACCGATACCGAGACAGTAACCGATACCGAGACAGTAACCGATACCGAGACAGTAACCGATAGCGAGACAGTAACCGATAGCAATACAGTAACCGATAGCAATACAATAACCGATACCGAGACAGTAACCGATACAAGAAAGTAACCGATACGAGACAGTAACCGATACGAGACAGTAACCGATACGAGACAGTAACCGAGACAGTAACCGATACCAATATAGTAACTGATACCAATACAGTAACCGATACCAATACAGTAACCGATACCAATACAGTAACCGATACGAGACAGTAGCCGATACCAATACAGTAGCCGATACCAATTCCATTTCATCCCAGCTTTCATAAACATATCATTTCATTCTGATGCACCAACCTATTGTGTATAGTGTATTTCTGCAGGTTATTTAAATCAGCCATTTATGTAAATGCTCAAATCTATTCTCTACATTTAATGTATCTACATTTTATTTCTAGGAATACTTTCCACTGATGTTTTCCTCTGAACTGTGTTTGAGTCAGTAAATATTTTTGAAAAAGGAGCGATCAAGACCTGTGCTCAACTGGATAGGAGTGAGCGATGTCTTGCCGGTAGATGCTGTTTATTTTATTGGAAAATTAATTTTATCCTATACAGCAGACTCTATAGATTATAGAAGACGCTGTTGGAGGCAGCTCCTCTATTATACCGAGAGAACACACACATTTATTGTTGATATTTCTCTTACATCATGCCCACTAAAGCAGCTTTAGTTCACTTGTTGAAAGTCTTGTCTTGACATCCGTATGCACATTTCTGCTCTAGGATGCCACTCATTTGTACATGCGTTAACAACCTGGTGTTGATTTTTTGACATAATGCCGAAAATTAAACTAAGCTTAATCAAAATTCATTTCCCTATGTCAATTTGAGCGAGCCATTTTGATTTCACATCCATCTATGTCGGTGTTTGCAGTTAATTGATCAGGAGTCCCACCGCCATCGACCGGGTCTCATGACAGGATGACGATAAACTTCATCTGAGCACTCGGTGCAGAAATTTTACAGTTCCCTCAGTGATTTCCCTCCTGAGACACAAAATCTATGCAGCTGTTTGACTTACGATTGATGTAACAAATGTGCAATTAAAAATAGAGGTATATCAACAATATCTTGACCAATCTGACAGTTGGCTGAGGAAAGGCGCAACGATCAATGGGAAAACCAAAGTTTCACATAATTACATAAATATACAGTCAACAAATGTAGAAATTAACCACCCAGCGTCGCTTAACTTTGTTATATCCTAGAAATACATGTTTGCATTTTTCATAAATGTCGCATGAAAGGACCAAAATCTTTTTGTTTGACTAAAGTTAAGATCAGTTTTGTCAATTCTAAGAAGAGAAATTGATAAAACCAGGAAATTTCTCCAAAATCTATACATATTAAGGGAAAAAGAAACATCTTTTTTTTAAGTAAATGATGACCAATATGATGACGTCTATACTAGCTAGAGGCTACAGAAGCATTTCATAAGCCCAAGGAACATGCATTGTTTTCCATACAATTCATAGTCTCACCTTATGACACTTTTTATTTCATTTTTATATGAAAAAATAACATTTAAAAATAGATAAAAGCTTAAAAACAATTTGAAAATTGACCAGTTTTATATACTTTAAATACCTTCCAATAGCAAAAATAATTTTCCACTTTTGCTAGATTGTTTCAAGTAATGTAATTCACATAGTGTTAAAATCAAAACTCTTACAGCCATCACACAGACGAGGTCAGGTGAGGCGGTGTGATGGTCTCCCCATTCGAATGGCCTCCACTCAGTGCAGTGACAAAGCTGTGTTTCTCTGTGTCTTGTTTTGACAGCCGGAGACTGAGCTGAGCCCATCCGTCCCCTGCCACTGACCCCTCTAATCACATCAGGAGCTCTCTGATGCTAATCATCTCTCCCAGGAGACCCTTCACATGGCAGCTCACTGGAGTTTATATGCTAGGCTGGAGTTATGCTACCAGGCAGCCAAAACGAATTACAGGGTCAGAAGAGCATAGCTTCATATCTGAGGTGGAGCATGTATTCCATCAATTTGTCTGCTTATTTGAAGCTCAAAGCTCGTGTAGCGTTTTAAGGTTCATCTTCCAGCAGGATAGTAAAAACACTGAACGTCCGTGTGGTTGAATGGCCCAGTCAAATTCCAGACCAAAATCCAGTCGGGAATTTGTGGAAATACTTGGAAGTTGCGGTTCAGAGGAGCTCTCCATCCGGTGTGACGAGGCTTGGGCTACTTGGCAGGAATGACAATGGACGGGTCGGGTTGGGTTGGAGCAGGGAGACGGTGGGGGCTGAATGCACATGCATGTCACACTTTTCATTGTTATATTTGTAAGAAATTTCAAAAACTGAAGCATGTGTCATTTAGATTAATGTCCTACTCTGTTTGTCTGTTGTAGTTTGTGGTTGTGACGAGATGAAATGTAAAATAGTTTTAGGGATTTCTCCGCATTTCAGTCCAAAATTACATGTTTTTCCCCCAACAAACATCAAAGGTTTCCAAATGCTTTTCTAACCCTCACTGGCTCCGTATCGCTCTGATTCCTACTAATTAATTGTGGATATGTTGATTCAAGATGTTTTATTTTGTTACCCTGACTCCCAACGTTGCCTAAAGTGCTTTTGCTCAGAGGCGTTTGCTGTTCTAAAACCCATCAGTGGGATTCTGCACCAATTCCCCACAACGCTTCCGGCTTCCATCCGGAGCCCGTTTCAGCCACGATTAGATCTCATTCCAACATGTTTTTTCATTAGAGTCAGGTGAATGAAGAAATGACGAGCTGCTCCTGAATTAACCAAATCAGAAAAAGCTGTTTGTGTGCAATGAGAAATGCATAAAAAAAGAAAAAAGAAAAAGGTTTGATATGCAGCAGACATGGCGTGTTTAGATTCAAACATCTCCAAAGGTCACAGTGCACATCTGTGGTTTTGAGTCCCTGCTCAAATTTGTATGCACCATGCATCTGACTAGTACAAAAAAAAAAATAAATAAAATGGAGCTGTGGAGGAAAGAAACAGGGGAAAAAAAAAAAAAAAAACACAACAGTTGAGGCTGTTTGTTTCCTGGCACCCAACAGCAATCTAACGTGCTTGGAATAAAGACCGTTGACCTTGTGGGAGCTAAACAAATCCTGCAGGTGCCAAAAGGCTGACAACGAAACACACATTTCCAGCAGAGGGGCCGATTATTTTAGAGAGAAGAAAGGTGGACTGGAAAGTGGGAGATGGGAGGCACAGGGAGAGAGAGAGGGGAGGATTTACTTGGTGGGAGCGCTCACACGTCGCATCCAGAAGAAACGGCTTCTGTAGCTTCGTCGCGTAAGTCTCCGTTAAGGTCAGAGCCCTTTTACTGCCACCCTGTAATCACGGCTGAGGGGCATTCACCACTGAATGAGGCTCAATCGTCAGAGTCATTGTTCACAACACCGAGCGGCCTATGAGAGAGGGGCGACGAGGACAGTGACACCATGTAAAATAGACAGTAAAACAGGCAAGAAAAGGGAAATATGGGTGGAAAATTATTTCAAATGTGACACTACTGTTGCATCAAGCAGCAGTGACATTTGACTTTAGATCTGCATTATGGATGACACTCCTAAATCTGCTGTGTGGTCACAGACTTCAATTGTAGAGAGCATCCATTACTATCGCTGACTGCCATCTATATTCTCATTATGTTTTAGAGTAAACCGTGTTTGCAAACGCAGGTCCATCAGGATAGCACTTACTGCGCAGATGGTCGTACATACGTTCTTTGTTTAAAGAAGCCTGCCGTAGGGTTTCCTCCTGTAAACACTGTTCATATGCACAAATACAGTGGAGCTCTGATGGAGCCGGTCCAACGGCTCAGAGAAGGAACATTATGTGTCATTGTGAAACGTCTGACTGATGCATTTTATATTTACTGCGCGGTATTTTTGAGGGACGAAACCAGTTGCGTGATTTAAAAAGATGAAAGCTTTTAATAATAAATGTTTCTCACGGAATGCTATAAATACAAAGTGTTGCTGTTCAGGGTAAATCAAACCGTAAACCACTAAGTCTGAGTACACAGGAGAGCAGGAAGTGATGAGGATTTCAGTGACGATTTGAGAGATTTATCCAGGGTTTTGGAGGAAGAAGCTAGATGGAGGGAGCAGGTTCTGCCGAAGGACGGCAACCATGTTTTTTTCAGCCATATTATTGTGGAAGTAACAATGACTTCAATGTTTCTTTGGAGGAAGAGTTTGGCAGTGAAGGGTTGGAGCTGGACATCTGTCACCTCCAAATCACTGAATGGATGGCAACTTTTATTTTAGCTGGCGTTTCTCTTTCATATGTGACCAGAAATCTTCTCAGCCTTGAAGTAAAAGTCTAAAAAAATTGGTAAAAGAAGGGTGAGAAGTGCACCCTGAAATCCAGGCTTACAATAGATGCAGCACAGTGGAAACAAAATGAAATTCTGCTTTATATTTATGAAATGTTAAAAGTATATAAAAATGCAGATAGACAAATAATTAAATCCCTTTTGTGACTAATAAAATAAACATTTCATTGCGTAAAATGCAATAACAACACTCCTTTATTGTCCACTTGATCGTTTCCAGCAAAGGATGTGTGTTTACACATAAACAAGGTTTTCATATTAAATGCTAAATGTACCGTAGATACTTTTTTGTACAGTTTTGCCTTAATTACTGCTCGGAGTGTGTTTTTCTTTCAGCAAATGGCCTTTTTCAGACTTTTACCTCCAGCGGACGATTAATCATTTACTAAATTATTTGACGATTATTTCAATAATCGATTAATCATGATTAATCCAATTAATTGTTTAAGCCCTAATAGGAGCATTCTTCTGAAGGCTATGTAACAAATCCTTTACATTGAGTCCTATGATAGACACGCATCCTTTATTCCAGATCAACAAGTTTCTGTCTTTAGCTGCATAACATAACGTCACGTAATCGTTGCTAACGAATTGCTTAGATGATTATTTCCCCCATATAAAAAGAAAACCAAAACACCATGGCACAAGTATAGGCAATTTCCTCTCTCATGTTATTTTAACTTGATGCAACATTAGCTCTCTAATGTGTCTAGGATTTTATTTGATTTTTTTGCAGTGCGTGACCACAGCGACTGTTATCATTATTAATGGAGTTTTAAGTGTGTGATCCATCCACTGTGTGCATCAGATCAGTCAGCGCCGCGTGGGCCGCCAGCCACCGTGTAATTGAAAGATCACGATGCTTGAATGGAAATTACAGCCGGTCTTCAACATTCGGTTGAAGACCAGCACCTGGCACACCCACTGCGTCTGGCTGTTGCGTACGGGCTTTTGTTTGCACGTTGCACGCCGCAGACACGGCAGCAGAGAGGGGGGGAAACTAAAGGCTGAGCACAGCCGTCGTCTTTTTATCCAACGAGGCCATCTTTTATTTAGAACAGCAATCAGCGCCTCATCCTCAAACAGACTACTGAATGCTGAATTGTAATATTATCTCTTTGTGATATGAAATAGCTTATTGTTAAACTTGGCGATTGAGACAAAAAAATGTCATGTTTCGTAAAGGATGATTAGACGCAGTGATTGTCTCACGCAGCAGAAGATATTATAATGGCAGAAGAGCATCACTGCAGCAGCTGGAGAGAACCTTCAGCCCCCGTAGAGGACTTTAACACAATTAACTGTGTGGCTCCGCAGCTTTTCTGCTCATACTTTTCTTTTTCTTTCAACTTGAAAGGAAACAGATTTTCGGTTTCTCCTCCCGTGTCCTGTGAACAAAGACAGATGAATGTGGGACGCAGTAATGAGACCGCTCGAGTTAAACGGCACGCTTTGACACAACCGGCGTCGAGCTGCATCTGTTGTTGCGCAGAAGTGGCCTCGAATTTTCTGATGATATCTTCATTTCATTGTAGCTCATTACATCGGAACCTGCCTTCAACGGTCGGATGGGCACATATGGTGGGATCTGTTGCTTACAGCTTGTTCAGAGGGCCAGGAAGTGATGTCTGGCATGAAATTAATTATTTGTGTCCCTCCTCTCCCTTTTCTGAGATATCGATCTTGTTTTTACTGACCTCTGGACATCAGATATTGGTTTCTTCTGTACACTCATGCACGAACGCACACATACACAATGCTTTTTTACAGGGTAGAGGTATGATCACGTTAAATACAAATACCACAGCTTCACAATACCGTGGTACTTTTCCAGGGGAGCAACTACATACTTTCTGAGGTATAAGCGAACATGTCATCGGTGCCCCAATAACATAAACTTGTACAATTCATCTTTAATTAAAGTATCAATAATAATAAATGTACATATATGTGAATAAATTGCTGCCTACAGGGAAATTAAAACCAATGAAACAAAAAACAGGGCAATATTTCATCATTTAACATATCAGTGAGCCAAAGAGCCACTTCTGTTGGTCTGTGTCTAGAACAGCCTGTGGGCTGCAGGTCTGAGGCTTTTTGTTAGCAAGTTTTCTATCATTTCTATCATTCTTATAGGAAACCAGCTCATTGCATTTCCATATCCATCTTGGGTAAATTACAAGCAACTGTAGCATAATGATAAAATGATCAATAATGATGTAATGTGAGATAGATAAATAGATAGATAGATAGATAGATAGATAGATATGAGAGTTATATCTATATAGATTTATATAGGTAGATATGTATATACATATCTACATGTATATATTGGTCCAGAAACCTTTTCATCACTGAGGGTTTCCAAGTCAGATGCAGCTTTCATCGCTGACCTGTGGATCTCTTGAATACCTCTGTCTGCCGATCCTGATGTCCATTCAGTTGTTTTTCAGACGGCTGTTTTCTTAACAATAAAAATAGCTCAGTTTGGGTTGAAATTGTCTGATAAACCGGTTTAAATTGACATTTGGATTCCAGTGTATCCATCTCAGTTTGTGTTGATGTTGTTTGGTAAACTGGTTTTATTTGTGACCCGGTATCTTGTACATTTATCTCTGTTTGTACCGAAGCAGATTGGTAGACAGGT